AGTTATTTGACTGCTTTTTTGAAGCTGAACATTGATATGATGCGATTAATAAAGATGAATAAAGTAATGATTATACATTCTCACATGGTGATTCATGGATCGTCTCGGTGAAAGTAGATTTTTATAAGCCGTATTGAAATTTTAAAATTCATACTTGTATTTCAAACTCGCACACATATCGTCTTCGCCAGGAACAAGGCAAATCGTTCCATTCTGACAATCTTGTAATATCAACACAGTTATGTTGCTGGGTTTCATCATTTGGTTCACCCTCATTCCAACGGAAGTAGCTGACACTTTCACCATTTGTGTACTCGTATCCTGTGGAAGTCTGTAAAATAAACGGAATATATTAATGTAGTATCAGAAGTCACAAAACAATTAGGTTGTAGAAATGTTAAAATAATTCACAACGCTAAGTACTGAAAACTACTTTGTTTACCATATTTCACATTCAGTTCGTCAAACATCAGAGAAAAAAATACAAAAAAAACAAAATGTCTTTCCAGGAAAAATTAATTCCAGATAATATACGGTATTTTACAGAATGCGTTTAAAAAATAGATGCGTGTTATAAAGAACACTTATAAGATCATTTAATATTCGTTCTGAACAGCAATTCCACCGATATTGACATACAGTTATACAGATTGGTGTTTATTACTATGCAATTAAAACACATTCAATAGTTTGGGATAATAGATATGTTCGCATTATAACCTGGAAAAAGAGATTGCTAAGTTATTAATGTTCATTATTTTCACGAAAGAATATAATAGCATAACAGTCGATTATTGATCGGGTCATACTACACAATTGTTATAAACCGCACGCGCCAGTCGTGATCATTTCTATCACGCATTGACGTCGTAAAAGCCCCCCGTCGCTGGGAGCGCGATTTATAGGAAGGTTGTAGTGATAAAATACCTACAAGTCTGATTCCTATAAAATAACGACACGAATACAGTGGGTCGCAACCAGCCATAGATACACCACCCATCGCTGACTCCAAAAATTCTGCTTCTTCATCATCTGTAATGAATACCAAGTGAGCACCCATAGCTTCGCAGTTATCATTCGATTCTTGCCAGGTTAGACGATTTACTTCTATTTTATAACACGATACTTCTGCACCATAGCATTTCAATAACCAACCATCGGGACATGAAACTAAAATGGAGAACCATACACTAATTGTGACAATGTGTTTATGCAATAAACTACACATTAAAACAAGTGTTCAGTAATAATATGTGTTTTTGAACTACAAAATAATTTGAAAATACACAAATAACTAATCTATATTCAAAACAATATTACATGTACATATATAAGGTTAAAATAAGTCATTATCACCTTCCTCGCATGGCATTGATGGACCCGGTGTTGGTTCAGTTGGGGTACCACGGGAAGTGTGAACAGGGTTAGCGGGCGTTGTCACATGCGCTATTGGTGACGTTGTGACTTCAAATGAGTGGTCATCGCGTTCACGCCATCGTGTGGTGGAAACATCTATAGGTTTGATAACAATTAATTCATATATTAAATCAGTTCCCAGGCTAACGTGCCTTTCTTGTGCCTCGTATTCTATCCACAATAACCATTAAGTAATTGTGTAATGTGTAATATTATTAGTTACTAAGTGTCGATACGAGTGTTCGAATGATCGATTTCTTACCTGTTGTATTTGTTACAGATGTTATATTTGATTTGTCTGTGAATAAACAAGTATATAATTTGT